ACATGGCTGTATCTGTTATGTATTTGATAATGTTTCGAACTTTTAAAATACTGCATGACAGTACTAGAAGCTGTACTTCATATTAGTGAAAAACTGGTGTTTTTTGATGAGTTACTTTCATTTTTGCTTCTACTTTTCAATTAAAATAAGTTTTCATTCTCAGCAGGTTTCTAAGGTTCTTCTTCTACATATTTAAAACGTTAAACATCTGAGTGGTGCACTACTGCTACTAGTGGTGAGAAAGTGTATTGCACCTTATTCAAAATCAGTGCGGTCCCACGGCCCTCTGCGACCCAAAGTTAAAAACTGTTGTATTTTTGAGGCCCTCAAGGTGGCGCTCACAGCCCACAATTGGGCCACAGCCCATGGGTTAAGAATCTCTGCATTGTGGGATATGGTGGGCTGAGAAGGATCCATTGAACCAGTCCTTCAGTTCGGAGCAAAAGAAGGACGCATTTGCTGGCTGCATCAGAGGAGTCTTTAGATTTGGACAGCCTCTGGCATTGCGCTGTGACGTACGCGGCTGACGAATTTGGCCTTCGGAGGACGCAGCCTCTGAATTTGGACACAGCCAGGAAGTCGCCTGCAGACAGGGGCCCTGTCCCACTACTCACACTCCCACCCTTGTGTGCTTCAAGGGTCCGAGTGCATAGTGTGTCCCAGTCAGTCCTGTTTGTCCAAAGTGGTTTTAGGCTCCCCTCCTTTGTGCCCTTGATCCACAATTGTGTGTTTTGCCCACAATTCATCACTGTAYGTGCAGTGATGAATTGTACAAGCAATGTGACGTTTTAATTTTTTTTATTATTGAAAAATCTTTAAAAATTTAAGTTCAAGTACAAATTCAAATAAAGAACAAGAGAACAAGGAACAAAACAGAATAATTAAAGTATGCCGGGGGGCTAGGTCTCTACATTAAACACATTTAGTACAAAACATTAAAAATCATTAATTAAATATATTCAATGAGCTGCAAAATTTGTATGTATTTACTGCTTTTGTGTTTGTACTCGTAGATGTAGTAGATCAGTTTGTTTAATCAAAACTGTAAAAAAATGAATATGATGAAAATGTACATGTGTAAATATGAAATTTGCCAAAGATTAATTGCAAGTCTTTTGTTTATATATTAGTATTGTTTCATAAAAAACAAAAAT